CATACATACATACATACATACATACATACATACATACATACATACATACATACATACATGCATACATGCATACATACATACATACATACATACACACATACATACATACACACATACATACATACATGCATACATACATACATACATACATACATACATACATACATGCATACATACATACATACATACATACATACATACATACACACATACATACATACACACACACACACAAACACACACACACACACACGCACACACACACACACACGCACACACACACGCACACACACACACACGCACACACACACACACACGCACACACACACGCACACACGCCCAATGGTCACACGCGATCTGGCCCTGTTTCTTCGCATAGATTTCTGATGTGGGGTGGTGCAGTCACCAACCATATGCGACTGTAATCAGGAACAAATTGTACGTCAGTAAACCCTTCCAGGATCTGAAGAAGGCGATTCTACTGAAACCTCAGCTACTATTGTATTGTGTTGTGCTTTTCGATGGAAGTAAATGTATGCTGTATAACAACCTCGCGATTGCTGAACAAGAAAACGAAGCGGATTTTAAATTTTTGTCTTGGAAACATGTGGAGTTTTCGAGAAAAGCAGCCGTTAGTCAAACCAGCAATGTAATATTAATATAAAAAGTATATCGATCAATGTTGAATGATATGAACGAAAATTTATGAATTAGGGTGCTATTGATACAAATATCGGGTTCAGGTGTTGATGACACTGATGACTGTATTGGGAAACGTGCTTGTCGTTCTGTCAGTGGTTGTTTACAAACGGATGAGAACTTTCACTAATATTCTTTTAACTTCACTAGCCAGTGCAGGTGAATTTTTTCTAATGCTAATGCTCACTTCCAGAGCCGAAATTTCTAACGGCTGCATGCGTATAATCTTTTTCAAAAGAACTTTTCGCCCACATTACTTTTAGATCTTTTGGTTGGATTAGTGGTCATGCCGATGTCACTTTTGGATCTGTTGTACAACCATCGATGGCCTTTAGGTTAGAGTGTCTAGCTAATTTGGTTTAGTATGAAAAAATTGGCACCAATGGTTGTCCAATTTAGGAAAATTTTTGTGTGGTGTGTGGGCAACATCAGATGTACTACTATGTACGGCAAGCATACTGAATCTTTGTGTAATCAGTCTGGATCGATACATGGCAATCACTTCGCCACTAAAATATCCAAGGACAAGGTTGTTAGCTTATTCTTTAACTTATTCTCTCTTCCACAAAACTAAAGGCCGCAAATGAGAAGTGTCTCCATTTGTCATGATTCTTCGAAGCGCTCTCCTCTTAGAGCACTTGTCACGTATTTGATGAAGGATTTCTTGCTTCTATTCCCCAGCCTTTGCTGTATTATACGAGAATTACTTATGCTCGCTCGAATAACACGAATAGCATCACGTTTAATGTGGTATCAATTTGTCCTACTTTTCCTTTCGAGAAGACAATCATGAACGCTAATGAGAGCTTATCGGGCTCTTCCAAACTAAATGTGGGACGTGATTATTAGAGATAGCAATGAACCATTCCTTTGTTCGTCCCAGGCTCCTCATTGTAGACTTTTGATTCGTATACATGTATGCGCACCCATATAGGTGTGCATGATAACGATCGGGTACACCTGTTGAACATTGGAAGATCTATGGTACGATTCAGACGATGCGAAAATAGCTTTCTAAGCAAAAGATTACCTAGTGGGTTTCTCACTGCTTTTATGCAGATTTCAAATTAAAGCCCATACTTCACCTTGTTTTCACTATTTTCATTCTATCAAAATTGAACAGGGATCGTCCCCATCACGTATCATGACCATCATGCAGCAGTCATGATCACGTGCGCACACGCACTTTCACAACACACGTATTAAACATTATATATATATATATATACATATATATAACTGTGACACACACGTGAATTCAATTTGCACGCCCAAGGCCCACCAAGCCTTCCATCCCTCCAGGGTGGGTCGGCAAATTGGTACCAAACTTGTCTGGGAGAATAACAGCACTGGCTCGATACATCGCTAAGCTACCGCGTCATTGTAAGAGACCAGATATGCATTCAGTCACCTCCAACGATACCTAATGAAGTGGAATGCATTGCACATTCCTCAGAGAGTGATCAACGCCGAGAGTTTTTTTCTTTTATGTCTATGTATGTACATACACATGTATATACATGTATGTCGACACACACCGACACACACGCACTGACATAAACATAGTTACGTGTGCTCACAGACAAATACGCATGCACACGTACACAGATTTCATCTAAGAAATACATAAAACACAATTCATGAATGTGCTAAGAGCGTGGAAACCTCATGTCTTTATTCAAAGAGCGTGATCGTTGTGTTCAGCACAAGTTTTCAATTCATTTGTCTAGCAATATTATTTATTGCCTTTCATTAATTTGTTGTTCACACTAGTATTTAGCTGATGTTTAGAGCATTATTCACTATACATGCGAAATAGATTGCAACCTACTTAGTCGTCAATATGCTTATAAGACTAAAAAACAAAGTGCAGGTGTTTTTATATATAACATGGCAACTATGTGCAATATAATGAGGTGGTTGAATTAGAACGCTGGGAAGTCAGAAGTCCTTGGGTATTGTTACGGTCTTATAGGTAGGTGCTAATGCACACGTTGTATAAAATTGCACCAAAATTAGTCAGGAGGAAAGCGCTCGTGTGAAATTCGAGAAGAAAAATTCTTGAAACAGTGCAAAAAGTGTTCTGTCAGCGCCGCATGAGAAGTACGAAGAAAATAGTTTTCTTGGACATATTAGCTTAGAATAGCAGTAATGATCAATATTTTTATATAACACAGATTTTAGGTCGCGAAAGATGGCAGCTGGTCTGTTGTCGTCTGTATGGGTCCTTTCTCTCATTGTTTGTATTCCCCCATGGTTTGTTCCAGGTTGGGGTCTCTTCACTAATAATCAAGAGGTAAGAGTGTAATATATAGAAAAACAACGCGGCCTCATTATTGGTTTGGCCTAAAAACCAAGTACATCGTGAGGAAATTCTAGATATTTATAAATTATTGTTTTACGGCTTTCTATGGTCTTTCGTTAATAGGACCGAAAAAACTGTTCGCTGCAATTTATTTTAGTAATCGGCCATAAAATCGACTTGCTATAGTTTAATGATCATCCTCGGTTTCCTGCGCGGCACAGCGACCCAAATGTTGGAATTTCTTCCCATTAATAGTAATCATGTGGTTTCCTTATTTCTCACCTCGGTGATTTCTTGTTTTTCGTTAAACATTACAATTTTGTGCAGCCCCACACATATCAGATGTTCTGACTGGCCGATGATGACCTAGCAGATTGCATGCTCCGTTAAGGATTCGACGGGGAATTCGACAAATTTCGTCAGAGACGAAGAGTCATTCATATGTGGGTACTCTTCATCGGTCGCTTATCGAATATATAGTGCTCTCGGAAGCTTTTACATTCCTCTACTAGTGAGTTTCAGTTCCAGCTTTTTCTAAAATCAAGCATATCAAGCCAAAGGCATTTTTTACTTCAAATCGACATTATCAGATACCCATACGGCGATTTCGTAGGACACTTAAGTGAAAAGTAAAACTATCAGCAGAATTTTAACCTTTTTATTTACTGCATATTCTTTTCTAACAGCAGAGTATGTTGCGAAATATAACTTGTATAATGCAGAGATATTTGCAAAACTCCGGACAGCTGGTGTCTGCGGTGGGGAACGAACGCGCTATTGTCCTTTCCGAGGCGTAACACGTTCACCACCACATCATGCGGGTCCTTCGCTTCGCCTGCCTTTCAGCTAGTTCTATCGATCTTTTGCCACCAGCAACTGAGCACCCGTCAACAACTGAGAGACAGGCGAAACGAAAGACCCGCATGGTCTGGTGGTGAACGCGTTACACCTCGGAAAGGACAATAGCGCGTTTGTTCCCCACCGCAGACACCTGCGGTGCGGAGTTTTACAAATATCTCAGTTTTATACAAGTTGCTATCAGCAGACTTCTCGCAGATTACAAAGTAGCAAGAATGGCGTTGTCGAGCTTTCTAGTTAAGCTGTGAATCCTTTCCATATCCACCCAGGTAAGGGGATATGATTTTCTTAATCTACACATAAAGAAACCCATTCGTATTCTCAAAGGGATAAGCGCTGGCAGAAACTAATCATTATTTCTTCAGTAACTCCCGCGTCCGACTTTTTGTTAACCTCGGCATTAACTGAATAATTCTTTCCACTTCTGTTCAGCAAACGCGAGGTGTTATTTTACTTCTTTATTTACGTACGAGCTGGCGTTTCGGCGCATTTCGCCTTCCTTAGAGCCTGCAAAGGTCAAGTTGACAGCAATCTCTTCGGCCAAACACCTCCATAACGAAACAGAGAAAACGCTAAACCAAGATTTCAATCACATTTAGCACAACTCTGCACACCCATCGCTTTCTATGGGTCTTCCACTGAGTATGTCGTGTGCAGACCAACCGCACAGAATTCACATGGAAGCGTAATGTGCCTCTCCTATCAGAACAACAGGTTTATGTACTGTCCAATATCACGCGTGATAACAAGGCATTCTTCCCTGCGGTTCATTTTCGGATTCCTGGAATTGATTCAGAACGCCTAAAGAGTTCTACACCCACGTGTTCCTGATTCCTGTGCGAGGATCGTGACGCGTTCTTCAGAGTCCTCCCCGTTATGTCTCTGTGTCCTATGCGTACCCAGTGGAGTATGTGGTTTAAATTTATCGACTAGGTGTTTTTTATGCGGACACAGAAGGGTCTGCCCGTTTCGCCAATGTATTCGTCTCCGCACGCCTCACAGGAGATCAGATAAACTGTACCCAAGCTCATGCAATCGCCGTGTTTACCATGGAGTAAATTATGCAATTTTGCGTTGCACATAGACGGTTATATAGGCGGTTTCGAACCAGCTGGCGCCTAAGATTACTCGGTGGCATTTCAACTACGTTTAACGAATTCTCTAGACCCACCCTTCTTAAGCAGCGTTTTGTAGCAGCACTTACACCATTTGATATGAATGGTAGGATAAACGGGACCTTTTTATCGCTAGAGTTGACGTTTGGGAACCTCCGATTTCCTTTACACCTATCCCGAGCTGCAGTTTCGTAGCCATTGGAAATGGCTATTTGCCGCGCCAAGTTCCTGGACTCCTCTCTCTGCCCTCTTCCCGTGCACATGTTGGTTTCTGTTCGAAACTTGTTTCTTACAAGCGCTCTTTTCATGTGAGAGAGGTGAGAGGAGAGGTAATGTACCAAGATGATTTTTCTACTTCGCTTTCGGTACCACTTCGTAATGTAGCCATTTTCTGACAGGTTAAGGTTCGGGATAGCTATAGGGGTAATAGTAGGCTCCTAAACGACAACTCTAGTGACAAAAAGGCTTCGTTTATTCTACTCTTCATCTCAAATGATGTAAGTGCAGCTATAAAACGCTGCTTATGAATGGCGGGTCTAGAGATTTCGGTAAACGTAGTTGAAATGCCACCGAGTAATCTTAAGCGCCAGCTAGTTCGTAACCGCCTATATGACCGCCTATGTG